CTACAGTTATCAAATATTGATAAATATCCAGTATAAAGATAATATTGATTGAATGCTATAATAAGACAACATAACGCATACCTAACCAAATTTTGATATTGAAAACATTGATATACAAGACATAAATGACTTAATAAATAAACTTTCATTAATTTAAATTTGGTGAGTAGTTGCAATCTTTTTCTTTCTTTCAAGTTCTGTCCCAATAGGTATTTTTGATAAGGTTTTAATGTGGCAACATTTTATTGCTCTATATTTGTTATAATTATTTATAATATTTTCATTTGTTTGGTATTTTTATCCAATTGAATATTTTTCAAATTAGGTTTTAATGAAACAATTATTCGCAAATGACTATCAAAACAGGAGTGTTGTAAAGTATAGGATAATTTCTTATGATTATTTAGTCTTATTAGTGCACTTAGATATGTCATATTTAACCTAGAATAGTGTATTCTAATTTTGGAACGGTGATTTTTTGGAGTATATGCTGTTAAAAAGTAGAAAAAATTTGGGTTTACATATAAAATATTTTATTGTGATAATTTATGGTTAAAAATAAATTTTAGGAAAAAATGAATTTTTAAGAATGGCAGATAAATGGTATGTAAATTTACGGAATTTTATTTAAAAAATATTTATTTGACCTTTTGATTCGACAATGACCTTATTTAAACAAGAAATCTATTGATTGAACTAATAATTCAATGGTCCGAATTTATGACAATGTCAATGACCGAACTGAGACTAATAACTACAATTTAATCCATCTCAGTTTTGCATTCAAATAAAAACCTAAACAAATTTTCTTGGGAATTGATGGTTGTACCGGGGGGTGGGCACCCCACTATTGTGAGGGTTCGATCAATCTCCTCGGTAATTGTAGCATATCTCAATTTTCTTTGACGTTGTATATATTAGTAGAACCAAACACAGCCTTCATTATTTTCCGAAACAGAACGAAAACGAGTGACGCGTGCGACTGTAGAATAGAGGCAAAGTTGGTTGGAGGGGATAAGAAGGCTCACGCCGAACACGCCAAAATAGTAAATTGAGGAAAAAATAAAAGCGTCTCACGTGTGCGCACGTGTTGTCACGTGCATTTCATGAACACCCTCTTGAAAGCGACATTTAGGAGAGAAACGTGTAAGAAATGAAGGCACCAAAATACACGTGCCTTCAAAATCGAGTTTCAGTTGAAATTGTATTATTTTTTTATTTTTATTTAATTTATTAAATAATTTTCTAGAATTATGTCACTTGAGCAGGTTTAGCCCGCGTTCGATATTCATTAAAATAGAACTTTTTACCTTAAAACTTATTTTCAATCACATGTTTTAAAAATAAAATATTTTATACGTAAATTCAATATTTTTTAAATTCAATATTTTTTTTTTATACATTTTAATCATACATTCTCAAAAAATCACTATTCCAAAACTCATTTTATTTGTTACCAAACAAAAGCTTAAAATCAAACCCGAACTGAATGAAAGACTCGTTTGGCATGACTTTTGAAAAGCTAAAACGATTTTTTGAGACTCAACAGATGCTTTTGGACCCGTTTCGATATTTTATGAAAGTGTTTTTTTGCTGCTAGAAGAGTTTTTAGAGATCAGTTGGTTCAATGTAACTTTCTTTAGAAACACTTCCGCAATAGAAAAAAATACTTTAAAAATTAATTTTCAAACAAAAATTAAAGAAATTTAACCCAAAAGCTCTTCTACGGCCTTTATATATTTCGAACGATGCACATTGACTATCTACTCACTATGATTTATTTAGTTGGACTCACAACTTATTAATAATTAATTAAATAAAAAAAAATGTAGCCTTAAAAATAGGATCCCATTTTTTGTTCCGAAAGATCATATGCAAACTCAATTTAAGAATTAGGCAACGTGGCTATTTAACATTGTGAACTAGAATCTCAACCACTTAATTCCATCATGTATTAATAATTTTGGAAAGTCTTTTGAGTCTTTATTTTTTCCATTTTTGCTTAAAAAATATATTCTAGATTTTTTCAATCCACTTTTTCATTTCTCTAAAATAAATACAAAAATTAGAAAATTCTAAATTAAAAATTTCTACGTAGAAAAATAAAATTAAATGGTATCGAGTACCTATGATGGATACGTCGTGATACGACGCCCAAAACAATCCGTACACATACCATATCCGTTATTGCAATCATCTCTACCAAAAAAGAATGAATCTATTTAAGAGACGAAGTAATTGTTATTAACTGATTTTACGACAGACGTCTTCTAATTGTTTACGTCACATCGTAAAAAAAA